GGGTGTCAGCGCCAATTCTGAACTCGCGCGGGTAGTGAACTCCACCTGGTGCCTTTGGTGGACGTGCGGGGTGAACGGCACGTCTGAACTTGTGCGGGTCGTGAACTCCATCTGGTACATTTTGTGGACGTTCGGGGTGAGCGCCACTTCTGAACTTGCGCGGGTAGTGAACTCTATCTGGTCCCTTTGGGGACGTTGTGGGTGAGCGGCATGTCTGAACTTGCGCGGGTAGTGAACTCCATCTGGTACCCTTTGTGGACGTTCGGGGTGAGCGCCACGTCTGAACTTGCGCGGGTAGTGAACTCCACCTGGTACCCCCTGTGAACGTTTGGGAAGAGCGCCTACGTGACATGTGACTTTAATGTTGGTGCACGTTCTTGCCAAGCTCTTCGATTTCACGCGCTTCCTTCCCGTTCATGTCAAGAAAGGTTCCCAAAATGAGCGTTTCGCTCGAGACATCCTCACACAATCGTGAAATTGGGGGTCGTATCTTAAGACGTCGTTTGCTAAAAATGGGCGTTTCGCTTGGGACATCCTCAAACAATCGGGATGTCGAAATCGAGGTTCTAATTCTCGGTTCCTCAAAAATGGGCGTTTCGCCCGAGACATCCTCGATACAATGGGATGCCGACACAGCTCGTGTAAGGCATCTTTTCGGAGCGGTCTCGGATGACCCCCACGATGGCCCAAGAAGCGAAAATATTGAAACACCCACTTGTGTTTGACATTTTCGTTGAAAAATTAGCGTTTCACTCGAGACATCCCTTACAAAATGCCTTCGAACGGGCCGCAACGAGCGTTTCGCCTGAGACGTCCTTGCCAAATCGTGAAGTTGGGGGTCGTGTCTTAAGACGTCTTATCTTAAAAATGAGCGTTTCGCCTGAGACATCTTCAAAAAATCTGGATATTGAAATCGCTGGCCTAATTTTGGAACTTCAAAAACTGCCGTTTCGCCTGAAACATCCTCGGACAAAATGAGTTGTCGAAAGAGCTGCTATGAGACATATTTTCGGTGTGTTCTTGGATAACCTTGTATATGATACTTGGTCCTTGTATATGATACTGGTGGTCCTTGTATATGATACTTCCTCTATTAAGTTCTTGTATCTGATCGCCCTTGCCTATGACATTCCTTGTATATGATGTCTCTTGGCAGGGCTCTTGGAGGCCTCTTGGGGCGTGTTGGAGGCCTTTTGGGCCGTCTGGAGGCCATCTTGGGCCGCCTTGGAGCGATTCTGGGCTATCTTGGTGGCCTGGGTGGGCTTCCTGGGCCGTCATTGAAGCCCTGGACAATCCCAGAGATACGATATGGCCGTCCAGGGACCCCCGGGAGTAGGGGCGGTGCAGTCGCCTATATGCGACACGGCGGGTGGGCGGCCCCTTAGTTGTATATGATCTTGTTTGAATATGGCCTTCGTTGTATATGATCTTCCTCGTGTACGATGGTCCTTGTATATGATACTTCCTCTATATATTAAGTTCTTGTATATGCTCGTATTGTGAGGCTCTGTTGGGCAGTCGTGAGGGCCGTCTGCTCCTCACGTTCCTCCATCTCCTTCGCCCCCTCCTATTCGAACACATCAGATGAGTAAGCGTTTCGCTCGAGACATCCCCCTTGCAAATGATTTTGAGGAGGTCTTCTAAAACGTACCAGAGCCTCTTCCTCCTCTGTGTGTGTGCGTGTGTGTGTGTGTGCCTTCGGACGAGCCTTCGAACACATCAGATAAGTGAGGGATAGACGGACGACGTTGGAGGCGTACAGAGAAGTGAGGAGGATAATCAGGACTCTCCTTGTGGACGTTCGGGGAGCGCGTGTCCGTAGGTATCCCCTGTGGACGTTCGGAGAGCTCGCCTACATTACATTTTATCGTGATGATGCTGCACGTTCTTGCGCAGCTCTGTCCTTTCACGCGCTTCCCGTTCATGTCAGGAAAGGTTCCCACAACGAGCGTTTCGCTCGAGACATCCTCACAAAATCGTGAAGTTGGGGGTCGTATCTTAAGACGTCGTTTGCTAAAAATGGGCGTTTCGCTCGGGACATCCTCAAACAATCGGGATGTCGAAATCGACGTCCTAATTCTCGGTTCCTCGAAAATGGGCGTTTCGCCAGAGACATCCTCGATAACATGGGATGCCGGCACAGCTCTTGTAAGGCATCTTTTCGGAGCGGTCTCGGATGACCCCTAAGATGGCCCAACAAGCGAAATTATTGAAAAACCCACGTGTTTTAACATTTTCGTTGAAGAATCAACGTTTCACTCGAGACATCCCTTACAGCATGCCTTCGAGCGGGCCCTCGAAGCCATCTGGTCTCCTCCTCCTCCTCCTCCTCCTTCTGCTCCTCCTCCTCTTCCTCCTCCTTCTCCTACTCCTTCTCCTCCTCCTCCTTCTCCTCTTCCACCTGCTGTTCTTGCTTATCCACCTCCTCCTCCTCCTCCTCCTCCTCCTCCTCCTCCTCTCGTTCTTCCTCATTCTCTGTCATCCTCCTCTGCCTCGTCTTACTCCTCCTCCTCCTGCTCCTGTTCCTCCTCTTCCTCGTTCTCCTCCCCGTCCCCTCCTCACCCTCTGTTCCTGCTCTTGCTGCTACTGCTGCTGGTCCTCCTCCTCCTCCTCCTCCTCCTTCTCCTCCCCCTCCCCCTCCTCCTCCTCCTCCTCCTCCTCCTCCTCCTCCTCCTCCTCCGATTGCCGTTTTTGCCGTCGTCCTCCTGCGGAGGAGTGAGGAGGATAACCAGGAAGATGCTTGTAAACGTTCGGGGGGCGCGTGTCCATACGTATCCTTTGTGAGCGTTCGGAGAGCTCGCCTATATCACATTTGATCACGATGATGCTGCAAGTTCTTGCGCAACTCTTCCCTTTCACGCGCTTCCCGTTCATGACAGGAAAGGTTACGGGAACGCCCAGACAGCCCGTGTTGTTTTATCGACCTCGGCATGCAGCCACACGATGCGGGACGGATAGTGTTTGGACAGGTTCCATTGGTAAAGAATGTGTTGGGCACTTGCCCGCCGTTGCATTGCCTTGCGTAGCTATGACTATCATATTCGCTTGAAGCTATCCAGGGCACGATGTTGCAACGCAGGCTCCATGAGAAATGTAGCACATCGACGTCGTTGTACCAGTCGCACGAAGTAGGGAGTCTGGACACTCGAACGGTGGTCGATCGATTCCCATGCTACAGACTCCCTGTTTTGCTTACTACGTATAGTCGTACATTTTGATATGCTGCTCCATTTCCATTGAATGGACCCTGCGGGAGTGAATGGCAGCTCGTAGCACTGAGCACCGTGCATACATACCGAGTACTTGCATTTCTCCCAAAGCGAAACGTGGAGTTTGGACTGAGCCCCGGCGCCCGCGACCTTCACTTGCCGCGCTATGCTGTCCCACGGCTTCAGATATCTCAATGTGTTGCGCTCGCTGCTGCTGCCTCCCCCCATGCTCATCCACACTTGCCATATATCGGGACACTTAGGAGCTCGGCATACCATCTCACAGGTTGATTTGTAGTGCTCTGCTGCCACAGGGTGCGCTCTGGGGCCATGTTGCGACCTGGGGGCATTTGGGGACCATCTTCGGCCGTCTTGGGTATTCCTTATCGGGCGAAGAACGATATCATGTGCAGTCCCGTGAAGCCGTCAAGGGGTGAGACACACGTGCCAAAAGCAAAAACATGCTGAATAGGCAACACTGTGTGCTTTGACCTCAATTACCGCCAGCACGGTGGCCGGCCCGTGGCAGGGTGCTTCAAACAGGCACGGGGGCCCCCTCACACAGCTGGCCCTCCGTGGAGGCCCTGGCCAGGCCAACGAGGCCCACCTTCTCGGCAGGTCCGAGGACCCCAGCCCAGGAGCGATCCAGAACAGAAAAAGATGCACAGAGAGACCAGAACGGGGAGAGAGCCAACGTGGCAGGTATCACCACAGACCGACTTACGACGTGGAACGTAATCTTCACGAAGGAGGCACTCGGGCCAGAGTGATAGCTACTCGAGCCAGAGCGGGCTGCACTGGTACAAACCTATTTACCTACCTAGCAACACGTGTGAACAGCCCCTTAAGCACAGACCGGGAGTGAGGGAGGGGTGAGGGCGCAAGCGCTGACACAAAAAGCCTTCCCGTGCCATCGGACCTACCGCGGCTACCAACCTACTAGTGTGTGTTCGCCTGCGAGCCAATGTGACCCCGTGGGCGCGCACAACTACCAATGCCACATGTGCAGCGCCGGATCACCCTGAGAAAGTGGGCCGCCAGAGCGACAGATTCAGCAGCTTATGGCATAATGTGTTCTGCGATAGGGGGCGCCTGTCTCAGGGCGGCTGGGAAGGTTATACACCTACGGGTGAGGATGGAGGTACTGACATCTCAGCCGTCCTGAGACAGGCGCCCCGAATCGCGCCAAAGTGTATGTGATATCTACTCGCCCGCTAAATTTGTAGTTTTCTTCCCCCCATGGGGGCGTAGTGTTGCTGTCCTGGAAGCCACTTGTACCTTCTGATCGTCTGGTGGCGTCGCCTTGAAATCATGGGCAACCCCGAGCAGCCAGTGGGCTGGCACGCACACACGCACAGGATGGCGTGTTCCTAGCGTTGCGGACTTTGTTAGTATACATTTGGCAAAGGTCTTTTGAGAGACAAGAGGCGTAACACATAGGTAAAATGAGGTACTAGGTAGACAAAGGCGACAAGTGTTTGGTGATGCATCAGCACAGCAAGCCGCTTCAAATCCGAGGGTTCCCGAAGGTGGCGGTTGGGTATCACCGATTCGCTCCTTTCGTTGTATGTTTCTCCTTCTCTGTCTATCTCACTCTCTTGCTCTGCTTCTCCCACCATGGAAATACATGGACACGTCTGGCACACTATATCAGACCATGTTTTCTCGCCTTTGGGCAGTATTTGTTTGTGTTCGATATCGATGCGCCCCTCGTTGTCCTTCTTGCCCGCATGTGTGTCGATTCACAAGCACGCTCCTTGGCACCTCATCGGGAAGTTTTCAAATTCCAAGGATGTTCCGCGAGTGGCACGCTGCCTACATCAACCTGTACTACGAGGGCGACCTGGAAGTACTGGCAGATCCCGAGATACAGCAGTACTGGACATTCCGTTGCTCGCCTCAGTACAAAAAGGAGCCGTGTGTTTATCATGGGGGGGAGTCCACCGTTTTTATGTGCCTCCCGCTGCCCTCTCTGACCACCCGTGCGTGGCTGACCGAGAGAGGAAGGAGGAGTGGTTGAAGAGGAAGGGGTCTGCGGGTCAGTGTAACACCAATACTCATCAACGACGTTGAACTAAACCTTCCCGCCAGGCCTCCCTTCTCATAGGCTCATACAAGGTCTTATGCCCATTGAGGGAAGTACTCCGTTGGGAGACAAACGTTTGAAGATCCTGAAGCGTGCTGGAACACTTTTCTGGATTTCAACGCCACGAAACATACCTGACTGTTGCGCCTTGACGATCCGGAATCGTGCCAAATCACCATTCCTGGGGCTTCAACACCGCGGATCAACGTGACTGTTGCCGTCTGGCAATCCTAAATCGCTCCAACACGCAATTTCTGGTACGTTATCCATGGGACTCAGTGCAAATCCAAATTTCTAAGACGAACGTGGGCGGCGCTCATTTTGAAACGGAGCCGCCCTCAATCCGTGACACTATTGCAACTTTGCAATGTGTGAAGCCGTTTCCCTTTCTTGAGCATCTGGGTCATAAATGGGGAGGAGGTCCCATGCGAGTACCCAGCCCGCCCTTCCGACCGGCTTCGGGCTGCGACAGGGCGGAGTTGTTTATGAGGAGGAGCGGGATGGACTGCTAGAGTTGGATCGCACATTTCACATGCCGACACGACTGCTGCATCCCTTGCGATCCCGATGCTCGGCGCACGAGGCAGGCGCGCGGACAGTCAGAGGAGAAGGGTCATCTCCGAGGCTGGAATTTGCTTGTCTGAGGAGCGGGCAACGAGCGCGACGCGCGGCCGCGAGAGTCCACCCAGGCCCCTGTCAGTTCGGGGCCTCCGGGCGCTACGTGGGGCGCTGCGCCGCAAGGCGCGCCTCTGGCGAAGCGCGCCTCGCCCAGGAGGATCGTCGCCTGCCTGCGCGCGTGGCAGCTACATTCCGAGTGCAGGATTTGTCCACCGCCTGTAGAATCGACCTTCCTGGGACTTCTTGTGGGCAGGATCCAAGAGGTGGGCAGAGGTCCAGGGGGAACTGGGGCCATGATCGTTTGGTCCCGTACGGAGATGGCGCTGGTTTTTGCTCTGCATGCGGTCGGATCACACTTGGCGATGCCTACGAGTAGATATGGGCTGGTCCGTGACTCCTGGGGGGGGGAGGCGGGACTGGCGTTGGGCCTGGCCTTTGAAATAGTGGGAAGCGCTGCCAGGGACTGCCACCCCTGTCGAAGGACGCCCTCATCGACCAGGTCACCCACACTGTGTTTTGGACTTGTGCTTTCCACGAGTTCGTGGGCTCGGCCGTGGAGTTCTGCACGGACCCCTCGGGCCTGTTCTTCCAGGCGCGCGCCCGTCGTTTTGAGGCTGCGCCGCGGAGCCCCCGTGGCGGCTCCCCTGGCCCCCCTCCCAGCAGGGTGCCGCTCGTGAGAGGGGGAGGGAGGGGAGGGCGAGGGCGATGAGGAGGTCGAAATGGATCAACAGTAGCATTGATACGCTGCCGTTGATCGAAGGTGAAACAAGCACGTAAACATAAATGTTCGCAGCTCCGGGTAAACCTTCGACAGTTGTTTGTTTATGTATGTTTCTTCTTCTTCAATAGAAATATCAACGACACGCTGCCGTTGGGAGCGAGCCGTTCAGCGTGTTATTTACTCCTTCGTTTTTGTCCAAAGGCCTGGCCTTTCTTCAACGGTAGCGCGCTGACGGGTTCCCCTTGGCTGTATGTCATTGATACCGTTTGGGCTCCCCCAGGAGGACGGAATTCCCACTTCTAAGTTCTGTTCATATTTCACATTGGTTATCTGGCTGGCAGACGGATTGTCCACCCATACCTTGCACAGGGCCGAGCAGCCGACAGGCTCGCTCGCGTGGCTCGCTCGCTCAGGAGGGGGGACCCGGGGAGGTGTTTTCTGACCCGGTGACCGGGCGGCAGTTCTGGGGTGTGCCCCAGTGCGGTTACAGGAGCGGGGCGTTGGGGATCTCGCTGCCCCTCTTGACTCCAGGAGGGTCCCACCCAGGGCCCAAGAACTATGGAGCATCCCCCGACTGCACCCAAAACGTCCCCCCCAGCCCTCCTCCCTCCCTCCCCCCATCTCCCTTCCATCTCATCCCTCCCCCTCTCTCCCTCTCTCCTCCCTCATTCTCCGCGCGGGGCCGAGCCGCCCGCCGTCCGCCTCCCTCCGCCGGACAAGGCTTGGGAGCTACGATGTTTCTTGGGTTGGCGCTTGGGTTAGCGGCGCCTCCGTCGCCGCCTCCGGCGCGCTCCGCGCGCCAGGAAGGGCGCAGCACCGACCCAACCTTTCCGCGCGGAGCTCCGAACACTCATGTTTATGCCGTCGGCTGACCCGGCTTGGCGAGTCCCCGAGACGGAATGTTGCCCGCAGGGGCGCGGCGGTGACCGCGCTGCAGCTTCGCAGTCCCGGGCGGAGGTGGTAGCGCAGGAGCGAGAGTTCAGGCGACCTGGAGGATCGACGAGGGTGGTCGAGGTCGAGCAGGAGAGGGATCGAGGAGAGTAAGAAAAGGGAACGACAACCAATACCGCTGATTACCCTCGTCGCCATTTGCCTTGACATTCTGGTCAGAACGCACCCTTGGAGAGGTTTGGGGACTAGCGGTGCCGGTACTACCTTTTTGCCTCCCCGGTGGGCGTCTTTTCCGCGCCCACACGGCGTTCCGTGCTTTGAATGGGTTGCGAGTTCATCAGCGTCTAGATCCGAGTCCGAGACGGAGGTGGATAAGGCGGAGGAGGAGGAGGAGGAGGAGGAGGAGGAGGAGGAGGAGGAGGATTGATCGAGGAGGAGTCTATTCCGCGCCCACACGGTCCTCCATGTTCATGATAGGTTGCGAGGTCATCACAGGTTAGGTCAAAGTCCGAGAAGGAGGAGGAGGAGGATCGAGCACGATGGAGGATCGAAGGACCATGGAAGAGCATGGAGGAGGAGGAGGAGCAGCAGGGAGGAGGGATGCGGCCCGAGAGGCGGGGAGCAGGAGGAGGAACATGGAGGAGGGTGCTGGGAGCCTGGAGCACGGCAGGGCGCCGAGGTGCGCCCGGGTCAGAACATGGCAGACATGCAGCACATGATGCAGGCCCCGGCTGTCGTCGTCGTCGTCGTCGTTCTCTCTCCTCCTCCTCTTCCTCCTCCTCCTCCTCCTCTTCCATGCTCCTCCTCCTGCGCCTCCTCCTCCTCCTCCTCCTCCTCCTCCTCCTCCTCCTCCTCCTCCTCCTCCTCCTCCTCTCAGTATCGTTTCGCCGATTCCTAGCCCCATCTCAATTCTAGACGCTTCGCGCAACCCCACCAGATGGTGCTCGGACACCCCTCATTGACGCTTGTGTTCAGCAGCTTTTGGCTGCGCCCCCCCCTGCTCGTCGCTGACCCAGCCATGGTTCTACTACAAGGACGTCTTGGCCCGCCGTCAGCACGCCGCCAGCAAACGGTACGGCCCAGCAGCTCTGCAGCTGCCAGCCATCGGTTCGCCCCGGCGTCGGAGGTATTCGGCTTCTGCACGGGCAGCGTGGCAGGTGTTGAGTGGGTGCGGCTGTCCGCCATACACCTGGTGATTGGCTTCGTCAAAGTAAGCGGCCCTGCGTTGAGTCGTTCAGCCTTCTGCAGTTCGAGTTCGTTTCACTCTTTTCGGCGCAGCCACAGCCACCAGCCCTTGTCAGTACATTGCATCGTTGTGCCCCCGAACAGCGTGATCCGGATACGATGTGAGCGCACAGGCTACCGGCTGGAGGTTGCTCAGCCTCGTGAGCGCACACCAGTGGTCTGCCTCTACTGGATGGCGTTCTGACGCGGATCAGCCACACCTCAGCTTCAGCGATCCTTGGTGAGTCGGGTCTCCCTCGCCGCACCATCGTATGCACGTGGAGCTGCAGTGAGTCTGAGTTAGTTGCTCTCGCTCCCGCTCGCCCCCCTTTTTTCTGAGGTCTTGGACGGCCTGGCTCTGTGTGCACACACGCGGGTTCCGCTTGGTCTTTGGCCACTCGGACTCGCGTTCTGCCCGTGGCCTTTACAGTGCCTTGCTGTCCGTCTTGGCCTCGCTTCCGATTACGGTTTGACTGGAGCTTGGCGCCGCAAGGGCGACTTCTCCCCCCCGTTCCGTTGCCGGTTGCCGCGCCTTCTGCTTCCCCACCAGCCGGGCTGTCTGGGCCGGCCACCAGCAGACGCTGAAATGCGTCTCAATGAGGGGCATTATGTCCCTGGCACGTGCATGCGCCACTGCGTGTGTTGTCCGCTGGAGTCTGCGGCAATCTCGCGCCAATTATCTACGCACCGCGCCCCGGACGTCGCGCCCGCTCCATGTCTTCGCCTTGGAGCCGCGAACCAAACAAGTAACCCAACCAGCCCATCCAGAAACTATGCCCAGAGGAGTTGCCTCGATCAGGGAAGTGGACAGCACGCAGAGGAGTCTCGGGGAGTTTCTTGGGGCCTCCTGGGGGTTTCTTGGGAGCGTCATTGGAGGCCTCTTGGGGCCCTCTTGAAGCGCTCTTGGGAGCCTTGGGAGCGCTCTTGGCCGCGCACTCCAGCCGCGCCAGGTGCGCCGCGTTCGGGGCACGTGCAGAGTGCGTCATGTGCGCATTGGGTTGGCCGCGCATGGGGTTGGCCGCGCATGCTTCAGATGTGGAGGCAGAGTTCGTTTTTTTGTTGCAAAGGATGGTAGGGGGGCGGGTCGGCATGGTGTAGGCATGGTTTCGAGTCGGCCCGGGTCGCTTGGGGGAGGGGATGTATAGTGATCAGGAGCAGTGATAACCCCTCCCCGACTGGGAAGAAGGGGGCTGGAACAGGAAGTGCCTTAAACCACCTAGGCCCAGATGGTTGGCGGGATGCCCATCCGGATTTCCGATCCCCACCAGGCCACCACCCCAGTTGGGGGATTCGCTTTTCGAAACCCGATGGGAACAGAGTGGCGCTGGGGATAGGGTTTGGTTAAACGATGTTCATCCTCTCGTTAGTCCTCCTCGTCCCCTCGTCCTCCTCCTCCATGCTTTTCCTCCTGGTGCTCTGCCTCCTCATCATCATCCTCCTTCGCCTCCTCCTCCTCCTCCTTCTACGTTCTGCTGCCTGGCTCGAAGGAGGTGCGCGACACATGTCCTTCCCATCGTGTGAGGCCGTCGACGGCTTCCACATGAGCACTTTCCGGGGCAAGGAGTGATCCATGGCCACCGCCTCGCGGGTCGAGGACCGCGGCAGGCGGTGGATATGGATATGCCTGGGCCCCCCCGTGACCAACATATATAAGTATTCAAAGCTCGCTGGGGTCCCAAGGCGTCGGTTCCCCAGGCGGTAAATGTGAACATGTGCCTTTGCCTCGCACAGCTGCGCCCAATGACCCCGATATTTGTCCAGGTCACGTCCATGATTTCACCGCGCAAACAGGAAACCGTAGGAGGAAGATGGGGAAGAGGAGGAGAAGAGGAGAAGAGGAAAAGAGGAGGAATCGTGTTTGCGTGCGCGTGTGCGCGCGTGTGTGCGTGTGCGTGTGCGTACGGGCGTGTGCGTGTGCGCGTGCGAATGCGTGTGCGTGTGCGTGTGCGGGTGCGTGTGCGTGTGCGTGTGCGTGCGTCTGTGTGTGTGCGCGTGTGTGTGTGTGTGTGTGTGTGTGTGTGTGTGTGTGTGTGTGCGTGCGTGTGTGTGTGTGTGTGTGTGTGTGTGTGTGTGAATGCGTGTGTGTGTTGTGTGTGTGTGTGTGTGTGTGTGTGTGTGCGTGTGCGCGTGCGTGTGCGCGTGCGTGTGCGTGTGCGCGTGCGTTTGCGAGTACGCGCGCTTGCGGGTGCTTGTGTGCTTGTGCGTTCGTGTGTGTGCGTGCGCGCGCGCGCGCGCGTGTGTGTGTGTGTGGTGTGTGTGTGTGTGTGTGTGTGTGTGTGTGTGTGAATGCGTGTGTGTGTGCGTGTGTCAGTGTGTGTGTGTGCGCGCGCGCGTGTGCGTGTGCGTGTGCGCGTGCGCGTGCGCGTGCGCGTGCGCGTGCGCTTGCGCGTGCGTGCGCGCGCGCGTGGGTGTGGGTGTGGGTGTGGGTGTGTGTGTGTGTGTGTGTGTGTGTGCGTGCGTGCGTGCGTGCGTGCGTGTTTGTGTGTGTGTGTGTTTGCGTGCTTGTGTGCGTGTCGGTTGTCATGCTTCATGATATTATTTGTCATATTGCCTCCACGGGCGGGGGGCTGAACACCTGGGCGCCAACGCCAGCGCCAACGCCAGCACCACCGCCAGCGTGCTTTGTTTGTCCCCATTGCTTGCATCACCGCATTTTTGTTGCTCAAGACCGTTGCACACGGCGGGGGTGCATTTTGCAAGAACCGCTTAAGAGACGCACCCAGGGCTCTCCTATATACAACTACCGAGGATTCCAGTTCCTGTGCCAGCCTGTCGGCTACCCGCTGTTGGTGGATTGGGTTTGCTGTTGAATCGGGCTTGTTCCGGAATCGGCTAAGGTTGGTATTGGGGTTAATGTTCTCATCGCGAACTGTGCGCGAAGGTGTGGCGGTATGAGTCCTACGTGTGCTGTACCGCTCTCGCGTCGACTTCCATGGCATACATATCTCTCCAGAGATCGTGCGTATGGTGTCCCATATTCGGTCCGCGGCTCTGGCTCGCAGGGGCCACGGCAACCATGGATGCATCATTGCGAACAACTTACCAGTTACGAGTTTCATTCCATGATCTCCCCAATGCTGCTGTGGTTCATTCGTTCCAAGCGCAAATGCGTGCACTCACCAGTTGGATGGATCTCATAGGTGCGCCTACATGTTGCATGACAGGGACCCCGGAGTCATCCACGATTGCGCCTGCTCGTTGGGTGATGGTGGAGGCTCTCTGGCATCTTGCACGGCCGTTGGCATCATCGCATTTTATTCGGATGGTTGAACATTTGCGCCGGGAATTCTCCCCGTGGTTTACAGGTGAGCATGCGCACGGTAGTCTACATTATAGCAGCCTGCGTGTATGCCTTCTGGCATCGCGTTATCTCCTGCGCACACGACAGTTATGGGTTTCGGGTCGCAGACCCCGTCGGGTTGCTCAAAGACGCGGTTTGCCTATGTCTGCCGGCGTACAACGTGCACTATCCAGAGTTGGCTGGGCATTTCCCCTAGAGATCCCAAAGGTTCGCGACATCTTCAGCCTGCAGCTGCACTGTATATACATATACACACAGTAGGCTCGTCGGCTACAACACTTCGCACGTCCTCATTTGTATGCCAGATAGGTTCACCGGCCACATGCGTTGGCTACGGGCGAACACATAGGCGCGCGGGCGCGCGCGCAGGAGCTGTCGCGCGGGCGCGAGAGCCTTTTACGTCTCTAGGGATATGCGCATCATGTAAGCCTCTGGCCGATCGAGCACGATATCTGGCATTACTACGCGCGCCAGCTGCATGCGTTGTCCATCGTATTCCTGGAGGTTGCCCCGTCGACGGCCACTGATGCCCTGGGATCATCAGATATGGCTTGCGCCACACCCGAAGCTAATAATACCAGTACGTACAACAATGCTGCGATCAGCACTGGCCCCCCTCAGGACCTCCACGCGACCCCAGAGAGGCAAACCCCCGCGGCAGAGACGACCCCGAAAAGAAAGGCACCTTCATCCCCCCGTGGCCCCGAAGAATGTTGCTCTCAGGATCTATGGCAGCAGGCGCGCTTCAACGCGCAGCGGGAGTTTCATCATAGGCATGCTCGTGAACGAGAGAGGGCGCGCGAATGGGCGACATTTCTTCGCAGTCACTTTTACAGCGCATACGATTTCTTCGCGCGGCGGCATGGTGGGCAATCTCATAGTTTTGGGCACATTTTCAGCATGGCCCACGTTGCGCGATTCTTCTTCTACGGTTTTGCGCATCGGAGCCGTCGCAGGTAGTCCTGGCAGCAGGTGGTAGCATTGAACGCAAGGTAATCCAGATTGCTTATGCACGCCGTGGGGCTTGCGCGCGGTTTTTCTTGCCTGGCGCGGGAAGTCCATCGCCCAGGCTGCGATCGCGTCGCATTTTAGTCTCTATGCACTCCCGCGGCCAGGAGGAGCGCGCATTTCTCGTTGACCACGAGCGCGACGCGCCAACCGTTCGACGATGGATGTCCGCAGTTTCCTGCCAAGTTTCTATGGAACGTCCAGCATGGCTTTTACTTGTGCGACATCAGATTCGGGTCGCAGTTGCAGCTCGCTAGAACGGTTCAAAAACATTGCATGGGCTTGAGCCGGGACCTTGCCAGGCCCCCCGTGGAGCTTCTCAAGTCTGTTACGGCCGACGGCCTCCAGATCGCGTCGCGCGGCTCCGATCTTTTTCGCGTTCCAGTCAGCGGTCGGCTTCCGTGGCTTTACAGTGCCCATGCAAATCTTTCTTTCGACGCTTACAGTCAATGTGCTCCGTGGCCTCGCCGTTTGGCATTGGCCAGTGGGCTCCTGCGATGTCTTCCAACTCTGGCGAATGCAAATGCGGCGCCAAATTCGAGTCCGACGCCCACTTTACAGCTGAATGCGTTGGACAGATGGTGCAAGACACTTGACGTCGCAAACAAAAATCATGTCACGCCCACTGTCGAGGATAAAGAAAGATCCGCGCGCGCTCTGGGGCACAAGCGCCAAGCACATGCAGGCGAGGTGGCCCGGGCGCATGCCGCATGCACATGATAGATGGCCTCGACATGCACGGCCGCATGCACATATTCTACAATGATATAGATTTACGCGCGACTTCAGTACACCCAAGAGTTTCCGCCCTCATAACCAACGTTGCGTCAGTTATCGTAACTTACCATACTGTTATCCCACTGTTGAGAAGAATATGCTCCCAAGACACACGTGAAACACAGCGCGCAGAAAAAAAAATAACCCCCCAAACAAATCGTGTTTGAGATATATATATATATATACATATATGTATTTATGTAACAATGTCGCAGGCACATGGGCCATCCAGGCTTCATTGTTGCGGGCGCCGGTCAGGCGTATGTGGCTGCGGCAGCTCGCGACATTCGCCAGGCGGCGGGCACTTTGTTCGATCGCGCTGCACGCAGGCTCGCAACGCGCACCTTGTCCGTCTTGCGCACATCTACATCGCAAGTCGTCCTGGGTGGCAAGCTAGGTGTGCGACGCTGGGACATGGCCGTCCTTGTCATCCAGAGTCTCAAGAGGGCCATTGAAGGATTCCTTGGGCTTCCTTGTTTTCTCTTATTAGGCTTCGCCTACGCACAGCGCTCCGGGGCGCCGATCGGTGGACCTCTGTCGGGCGCGATCCTAATCTGGTATTAGCACATCCTGGATGCACATTTAATAAAGATCCCAGACCCCGACCATCGACGCCCCGCAGAGCTTGCAACTGTCCCTGGTAGGTATGTTGACGATCTGACCCTGCTTTCTTATCGCGCGTGCCGTTCATGTTTCTGGCGGCAGCTGGGCTACGAAGGCTGTCACTTCTGATCTTGATCGTGGTTCTGATCAATATGAGACAACGGTCCAGTTTCGATATTTTGATGCGTTTGCAGATTTGGGTTTCGATGACATGCGATCTATATCGCGACGCAACAATGAGGGGTGCGTCACAAGTGGGGGCGTGATCAAGTTTACTGATATATATATATATATATATAACGAAAACATGATACCCTACCTTGGCCGCCTCAGCCGTCGAGGGCAGCTTCGCTCCGAACTGCGCGGGCGCATTCATAATTGGGAACGGTTTCGACCATATACCATCGACCGTATTTGAGGTGTTTTGATGTTCTTGGCGTTCATGTATCGCTCGGGTTACCCCAGCATGATCGTTCGTCGCGCGCGGCGCCAAGTATACCCCGAGGTGGGAAGAATGATCTAGCGGTGCTCTGTCTCGACCTGGACAGCGCACCCGCCCTCGCCTCGCCCCCTCTGCCGCGGCCACATCGCCCCTGATAGACCACGTCGGTGACCTCCTCCACGACAGCTTGCAACCACCACCCTTGTCAGTTGGGGCGCAGAAGACGGGGCGCCCGAGCAGCGGCCGGGGCGGTGGCGCTCCGAACGCCGGCGGAGGCAAGCGGCGCGGAAACAACTACAGCGGCGGCAAAGGCTACACCTACACTGGCGGCGGCAAAGGATACAGCAACGGTCTCAGATGGATGCTGGGCCAGCGGGGTGGCATGATTGACGAGATGGGGGCCTTTGGCGAGATGGGTGGGATCAGCCAATTTATTGCTCGGGCCGACGGTGAAGATGGTAATGAGCTGACTCAGACGTCGCCGCCACCCGCGCAACCCTCTCCGCCTCAGCATCAGCATCAGCAGATTCCAGGGGTGGCGTCGGCCAGCCAGTCCGCGCGTGACCGAGCGCTGGCCTTAACGGACGCCATGGGCTGTGCGCAGGGCTCTGACAGCAAGCTGCAGGCGACCTTCAAGCGCCTCCACGAAGCGGCAGGTGTG